CTTAGTAACAAAGACATAAGTGAATTCACAAGTTCACCTAATATCAATTGTGGCAAAGACGGGGGTCAAGTTCAGGGCCAGTGTTTGCATTTGCCATTTAGAACTATCTAACATTGCAGAAGTTATTTAAACTAAAATTATTAGATTATTCATCTGCAATATACTGTCAATAACATTTTTATTTTTTTAAATATTTATTTTATTTATTTTTTTATTTTTATATTCCCCATACAATTGCAACCCCCTGATTTTGGCCCCAATCCCTCCCCTCCCCACCTCCCACCCCCCATAGAGTGTCTCTGGTTCATAGTTGTTTGTCGATTTTAATATTTTCTTTCTTATAGTTTTTCTTTTTCCTGGCCCCTTATATAAGTTTTCTAGATTCCTGCTATGAATGAGACCATCCAGTGTGTTTCTTTTTCTTTCTGGCTTATTTCGCTGAGCATGATCCCTTCCAGCGCCATCCATGTTGCTGCAAATTGCATGGGTTTATCTTGAATGCTGAGTAATATTCCATGGTGTATATGTACCACATCTTCTTGATCCAGTCATCTATTTTTGGGCACTTGGGTTGTTTCCAAAGCTTAGCTATTGTAAACAGTGCTGCTATAAACATAGGGGTGCAGGTGCTCTTTGGAATTGATGTTTCTGTGTCCTTTGGGTAAATGCCTAGGAGTGGAATTGCTGGATCCTATGGAAGCTCTATGTTTAGTAGGTCCAGAAATCTCCACACAGCTCTCCACAGTGGTTGGACCAGTTTGCATTCCCACCAGCAGTGCAGGAGAGTTCCTTTTTCTCCACATCCTCGCCAACATTTGCTGTTGCCAGTTTTTTTAATATGTGCCATTCTCACTGGTGTGAGATGGTATCTCATGGTAGTTTTGATTTGCATTTCCCTGATTACAAGTGATGTTGAACATTTTTTCATATGCCTGTTGGCCATTTGCATTTCCTCTTCAGAGAAGTTTCTTTTTAGCTCTTCTGCCCATTTTTGACTGGATTATTTTCTTTGTTTTTGTTTAGTCTCATCAGCTCTTTGTAGATTTTTGTGATCAGTCCTTTATCATTAGTGTTGGGTGCAAAAATGTTCTCCCAGTCGGTGGGGTTTCTCTTTGTTTTAGTTATTGTCTCTTTTGCTGTGTAGAAGCTCTTTAATTTGATGTAGTCCCAGCTATTTATATTTGCCTTCACTATCACTGCTTTGGGTGATGTGTCTGTAAAGATGTCTTTGAGGTGCATGTCATGTAGTGTTTCGCCTGTATTTCCTTCTATATATTTTATGGTTTCAGGTCTTATGTCTAGTTCTTTAATCCATTTTGAGTTGGTTTTTGTGCATGGTGTGAGGTAGTAGTCAAGCTTCATTCTTTTGCATGTAGCGACCCAGTTTTCCCAGCACCATTTATTGAACAAACTTTCTTTGCTCCAGTGCATATTCTTTGCTCTTTTGTCAAAGATTAGTTGACCATAGATCTGTGAGTTTATTTCTGGGTTTTCTATTTGGTTCCATTGATCCATGTGTCTGGTTCCAATACTGTGCAGTTTTGGTTATTATGGCTTCATAGTATAGTTTGAAATCTGGGAGAGTGATGCCTCCATTCCCTTTTTTTTTTTTTTGCAAGAGGGTTTTGGCTATTTGGGGTTTTTGGTGGCTCCATATGAATTTCATCAATATTTTTTCTATTTCTTTGAAGAATGACATTGAAATTTGAATTGAACTAGTATTGAATCTGTAGATTACTTTTGGTAGGATGGCCATTTTGATAATGTTAATTCTTCCGATCCATGAGCACAGGATGTCTTTCCATTTCTTTGCGTCATGTTCTAATTCTTTTAACTGTTTTATAATTTTCTTTGTATAGGTCCTTTACTTCTTTTCTAAGGTTTACTCCCAAGTATTTGATTTTTTTGTTTCAATGATAAAAGAAATGGTTTTCTTGATTTCTTCTTCTTCAGATTTATTGTTTTTATATAGGAAGGCTACTGATTTTTGTGCATTGATTTTGTATCCTGCCACTTTACTAAACAGATTGATTAGTTGAATTATTTTTTTCTGTGGAGTTTTTGGGGTTCTCTATGTATATTATCATATCATCCACAAATAGTGATAGTTTGACTTCTTCCTTGCCTGTCTGGATTCCTTGTATGTCTTTCTCTTGTCTTTGTCAATAAGATTTTTATGATACTGTCTATAGACACAAATAGCAGAACATTCATTTTTTAAAAAAAAATTATTTTTGAATCTTAATCTTTAAAATATGAATGCAAATAAAAGCAATGACTTTTAAACTTGAAAGTACAAATTTGACATTAAAATGGATAAATAAACTCACCAAATGTATTAAAAGTTCAATTTAAAATAAATTTCTATCAAAACAAACCCTTGAGATCAGATTGCAGAACAAAGGCTATCAGAAAGGAAGGGGGGATGTAGAGGGAAGAAAAAAAGGAGAGGACCAATGGGCCATGGTAGAGGATTATTGGGACTTTGATGCTGGGTGTGATACAGTGACATGCATTTATAGATATGTGAACTCTACCCATAAGTCATATAGAGTTGTAAACCAATATTACCTCAATAAACATAATTTAAAAATTAATATTTTTTTAAAAAGTGATTTGATCATGGCAACTGCCGAGTGTTTGTACATGAGTGTAAAAGTGTATGAAAGTTGCCTAGCTGACTACTACAGGCATTAAAAAAATATGTAAATGATGAAAATTAATAAAATGAATCTGTCCCACAATGATAGAATCGCATGTTCTTCAGGTTTCTAAAGACTAAAAAAGTATTAAATATGCATATGATGCAATTTTTTTTTTTTTGTGGGACCCTCGCGGAGGCCGGGGAACAAACCGGCGCTGCAGAAGCTGTGGGCAGCCTCGCAGCCCTGCGCTCAACCGCTGCGCCACCAGGGGAGGCCCGATGCAAATTAAATATATTTTAAAACACTATGCTGTAAGAGCTTACAAAAAGCAATTAACAAAAATGTTTCATTGCCACAATGTCTAACAATACACTCCATAAATAGGGAATTCCTTTCAAAGCATTCAACAAAATTATAAAAATTCATGAGATGTCAGTCATCTGTTTTTCTGAGTCTCTCTCTGTGACCACTGAGAACTTTGCCAGACATTCAGAATCCACAGTTATTAGACCATCCACATTTTAAATTTTCTGAATCAATTCAGAAGCTAAACCCACTATTGTATCTAGTAAATCTGTTTCCCTTTTAATAAGGTTAAGACTAAGAAGAAATCATCTAGCGATACTTGGAAGAATAGTTCAAGCTCATTTAGGAGACAAACCAACCATTCAGATAAAAAAGAGAAAGGACATACCAAAAGGGTTTCAACAGGCATGCCCTGAGGATCTGTGTATATATAGTATCAACACAGATTTAAGTGTGGACATTCTAAGAAAACTAATCCCATGGGCCACCCCGGTGGCGCAGCAGTTGAGCGCTGGGTTGCAAAGCTGCCCGCAGCCTCTGCAGCACCGGTTCAATCCCTAGCTGCTCCCCGGCCACCGGAGGAGGGTCCCACATGGCGCGCAGACCTCTCCTGCCACTTCCGCTGCTCCCCTCAGCAGTGTATTTCGTCAGTCTGCCTGTTCTGTTCCCCACTCTGGCTCCGGTGTATTCTCTCACCCTCCTGCGCTTCTGACTGTACCCAGTGCTTGTATAAATAAATAAATAAATCTTTAAAAAAAAAAAAGAAAAGAAAACAAATCCCTACATATAGGGATTCTCCTTGTCCTAACAAGTTCTCTTTGATTCCTTCCTCCCATATTTAGCCCTTACACAAAAAGTATGGCTCAATAAGGATTTTTTTTAACTTTTGATATTAGAATTCAAGACTTACAGATTGGCCACCTTTTAGCTAACTCTTTCCCAAAGCATTATTTTTGGTCAAAGTAGGAAACAATATCATTTCTTAATTCCTGTAAAAACCCTCAAATCTTTCACACCATGGGCTATGGTTGAAAGCAGTACAGGAACTGCTATAAAAGTTTGAGCATTTGGCACCCTACTCTTTAAATGTGGGTTTTGTCCTGCTGCCTATAGCTGCTTCCATTGGAGGAGCTTGTACTAGCTTCACTGAGCATCTCTTTTCTGGACTGAATGTTTGGCTTTTATTGCAAATATGTTCTCACATTTTAATACATTTCCACTTGCTTGCAATTTCTTGGGCCTCACTGGGTTCAACAAATATATTTTTAACAACATAATAGTGCCCCATTACACAGGATGGTTGGCATCTCACAGAGAAGTTAATTTGTACCCTATGACAAAGATTATAGATTTGGCTAAGTCACTTCCAAAGACAGATATTATCCCCCAAAGGATAAGTTTCCATTCTCTCACTTGGCATCAGTCTGCCAGGCCTCTGTTGATTATATTTCCCTTCTGTATTCTTTTTTTTGTTTGTTTTCTTCCACATTATAACATGCATTTCGTCTTTCTCCTAGCCTGAGCATTCCGTTTCTCTCTCAATAAATCCACAGTGCTGTTACAAATGGCAGATGCCTTTGAAAAACTCACACTCCATTCTCTCCTTCTAGCCCTGCGTGGTTTGACCAACGCAGTTAAATGGAATGCTCCCATTACAGACCATTTTGGGATACATATGCTCAAGAGAACTAGGAGTCAGGTAGCAAAAGTCATTATCAAAAAATAAATCCTCAGGGCCTCCCTGGTGGCACAGGGGTTAAGACGCAACCTATGAAGCTATCCGCAGCCACTGTAGCATGAGTTAGATCCCCAGCCAAGGAGCTACACACATGGCACGGCAGACCTCTCCTGTCTCACCCACTGCTCCCCTCAGCAGTGTATTTCAGTCAGTCTGCCTGTTCTGTTCCCCACTCTGTCGCCGGTGAATCCTCTCACCCCCCACACCTCTGGCCTGTACCCCAGCTCTTGTATGCATAAATAAATAAATCTTAAAATAAATAAATAAATAAATAGAAAAAACAGAAAAAATAAATCCTCATAGAAAAGTACCTTTTGCCCCATCAACATGTGAGCTCCTGATACGGGGAGCAAAGTTAGCAAGTCAATTGTCCCCTCATGCGGAATTTGAGTGGCTCCACTATCTCAGAAGCATAGGCAGGAACCTGAAAAGAAACATAAAGAACATGGTTTTTATGTGCTTTTATTTTGGAAGCACAAACTCTTCTAGCCATTTGTAAGAGAAAATTTTTAATTAGTAAAGAAAACCTTTTTTAAATTAATTTATTGTTTTTCTTACAATGTTTGCTTTCTTCTCTCAGGTGTAGTTCCCATCGAATTTCCACAAATCGGATTCTCATTGGTTCATATACAATCCACAGTTATGCATTCACTTTTTGTATCTGTTCAAATCAACCCCTTATAGTCCTTCCCTATTTAAATCCACCCTTCAAATTTAATTCTTCTATGAAGGCTTCTGTGACTTACATCTTTCGTTGTCCCAAGTCTTCCAACCCCTCTTGCCTCCATTCTTGATTTTCACTTTGTAATTTACTCTTGATTTGCAATGATTTCTGTGTCTGTGTCCTGTAATATAATCTTTCTGAAAGAAGGAAATCTGTTTAGTGTTTCTTCCAGTTTAAAACCAAACTTGAAGTCTTATCTCAAGTAAATGAGCAAATATATTAGCCTATATATTTGCTTATCTTCTCTATAGTCCAAATGAGTATCTCCTGCCCCAAGACTACACCTAGAATGTGATTTATTACAATGTAGCTCTATGACAGTGAAGTGTCTGTGGGTGTACCCCATCGGTACCTTACCCAAAATGATCCAGTGACAAGTAAAAGAACATATTGTAGATTGTTCAAGATCATTGTATTTAAAAATACATGTTCTCATCACTGAATATGGATTCAAATTCTCAACTAAACAGAGCAAGCACAGTCATTTTGTGTTCTTATCTCCTCTTTACAAAGAAGTGACTTAAATGCCCTCCATGTCAGTAACTGGGGTCTCTAGCCAGGATTCTCAACACCCAAAGGAAACCAGTGGAACTTAGCCAGATCTTCACTGGCTTAGCCTCAAATAAGAATGAATTCTTAAGTGAAAGGCGTGTCCATTCATGAATTAGAAACAAATATTGTAAAATCCCATATTTTTCAAATCCACGAGGCTTGGCTCCAGTATAGAAGAAATAGGAAGACAAAGTCAAATAAAAAGCCAATCAAACAGAATACAGAAACAAACCAAAAATGTCTAATCATCAAGAAAGTAATAATAAGTATCAAAGGACACTGGCTTAGAAACTCCTGCAGAATAACAACTTTTAATATCTTAAAAAAGTAGAGTGAGGAGATCATTTCTAATCTTTTCCATAACTGCTTTACTAATTTTAGTCAGCAAAATTAAATAACTTATATTTGCTTGGCAAGTGAATAAAAAGAAAACTTTAAAGCAGTTGAAGCTTTAGGCTTTCATCGGAAGTTACAGGTAGCTGCCAAAGGAAAATCTTATCTGTTGAAAAAGCAAGTTCAGCACTTAGCTGTAGTGCTATGAAAGTCTAGAGATAAGAAGATGTGGTATCATTTAATTAACAGCCACCCAATGATGGCTCAGAAGAGATTAATTCTCCCTCTTAAGAAGTTAAGACCAACCTTGGTCTCTTCTAGAAAACACATTTTTAACCTCTGTGGTGCTCTTTCCTTCTACTTCCTTCTTTTTCATTCCTCAGGCATTTTCATAATCTCCTCCCCCATTCCCTCGCGCCTTCTCATAAAAATAGTCTTCTAACTTTAAAAGAAAGTGTTATTCAAGATATTTCTAGCAATATATAAACTTGTTTATTCTTCTTGTAAAAATAAGCAGCTCTCAATATCTTTAAGAACAAGCAAGGAAATCTATTGAATTTATATTTTAATGAAAGAAAAGATTGTTCTAATATCTGAATGGATAATAGAGACACAAAATTTTCACTATAGTGACTAAACAAAAAAGGAACTTTCAGCTAAAATATAAAAGAAACTGCCTAGAAGTATAAAGTACCCAGTAGCATTTATATGTGCATGAAGCAGAGAATTCCACTAAAATGGAGTTTTTAAAAAAAGATTAATAAAGCCTGAAATGGGGCAATAGATATTTCAGTATTTGAGTGACAACAAAAATAGGTATGTGCAAAAATCAGAAAGAGATTCCTCTCCTGAGACATGATTCAATATATTGTATTGAAAAGGTATTATAGTTAGGCTCAAGAAAGAGTAAACTGTCAACAAAAGAGAACCTTCATTCCATAACCTTATTTTATGGATGTGAATCAACATGATACTAACAAATACATAAAACCACCACCTGAATAACCCTTAACTACCCAGAGAACACAATATAGAAGAAATAAGTATGAAATTCAATATAACCCCTAGAATATTTCCCTGGGATAAGCATCATTTAAAAAAAAAAAAAAAGGAACATTTTTTCCTTACATAAGCTCATTATTGGGTTTTGTAAATTGGCTAAGTATGCTACCCATGTATCCCTTCTCAAACCCAGAGTAATCCTACAGTATCCAAGCTGAAATGGAATGAAATTGGGTGTCTCCACCAGTTAACAGATATATGATTTAGGGGTATAGGATTACATCTTCTCGGATGTATTTCACCATACCACACCTACCACCAACACACCCACAGTCCTCCACCACAATCCATTGGGTGCCTGTCCTCCATTGCTAACCCCCTCTGCTAGCCTCCTTCTACAGTCAGATTTCTAGGGTTTGTTTGGTTTAGTTTTTGTCTATTTCTTTTTTGTTTGTTTGTTTCTCCATATCCCACACATGAGTAAAATCATCCTATATTTGGCTTCTTCCTTCTGACATATTTGCTTAGCATAATCTCCTCCAGTTCTACCCATGTTGTTGCAAAATACAAAATTTTATCTTTTATATAGTTAAGTAGTATTCCATTGTGTTTACATATCACATCTTTAAAAAAATGTTTAATTGAGGTAAAATTGTTTACAACACTTTATATGATTTAAAGGTATTGGCTCACATCCTCTAGGTATTGTTACCATACCACACCCACCACCAAGACACCCAGAGTTTTCTACCGTAGTCTATGTATACAATATCATCTTAATCCACTAATCTGTCAAAAAACTTGGCTTGTTTCCATAATTTAGCCTTTTAAGTTAGCCTTCTAAGTTATGGAAACAAGATAAGTAAACAGTAAATGGAGCTGCAATGAACATAAGAGTGCATATATCCCTTCAAATTAGTGTTTACATGTTCTTTGGGGAGACAATTAGGAGGCGACTACTGAGCTGATGTTCCTCATTCTGGGTACCAAAATTTTGACACTAAAAACTAAAGAACAATACCTAAAGGAGTCACTACTTAAAATTTTATGATCATGCCACATCCCTTTTCTTCTGTCATTAATTGTTTCAAAGATGAAAGATAGCAATTAAACACGGGGAACAAAGAAGACATTAAGGCAGGACTGTGAAAAATAGACCTTAGAAACAACTGAGTAAATAATAATCTGAGTCAAGATCTCTCTGGGATGAGTACCAAAATCTATGAGAATAAACAGAGAGCTGAGTAGTTACACATAGGGAAAAAGAGCAGAGAACTAGGGAAATAGTTAAGTCCATGAAGATGGACCAAAAAAAAAAAATTACCACTATGGCCAGTATACCAACATGACATCTCTCTTATCAGTGATAATATCATAAACAATGTTTTTATCCCAATTCTTGTCCCTATAATAGCTTCCTGTCGGCCCAACAATGAAGTAATCAATTGTACCTGAAATCAGGAACTTTGTCCTGCACAATTTGTATCATCCCAAAGAAAACCACAATCATTCCCTATTATAATATCTTAATTTAGTGGAAGATAATTTTATTGCAATATACTCTCAACCCAGGATTTGAGACAGGTAAACCTCTATCAAATATACTTTCCCTACTTCCTTTCTTAGGACACACATACAAAATTCAGAAAATTAATGTAATTTGAAGAAAGTAATATTTGTATGGGTGCCTTTCAAATTTCAGTTCAATTTAGTATTTTATTTTTAATTTATAGGACAAATGACTTGTTTTCTTACAACTCCTCTCTTTCTCAAAGGGTCTGACCAGAAGACGTACATATACTTTAGATAAACCACAGAACTGAATTTTAAAAGAGTCTACAAGAAATGTTTGTTCAGCCTCAGTCACCAAACTCAAGAGTTCTCTGAGAACTGAAATTAACTGTGGAGAGGAGCTGTCTTTGTTAATCAGAAGTGATTTTCCATTTTTTAAGGTTATAAACTCTTAATTGATAAGAGTATTACAATTTCAGAATTAGCAGTTCCTTGATTTTGGTCATCTTTTGCTTCGTTTCAGTGGTCTAAAAGTCCTTCAAAGATGTTTGTCTGAAATCAAATACTTTACCAGCACTATGCTCAAAATTTGGAGTCTCATTAACCACTAAGAACTCCCAGTAGGAAAGGACATTAACTGAGTGGGGGGGTTTCAAATAAGTAGATGTGCGAAAATTACTAATTTTCCATCCTACTACATCTCTTAAGTGTTGAAAGGAAAAGTAAATGCAATTAGAAAACACATTGACAAATCTATGTTGCTCTTTGACTTGATTTTCAGATGGCTATGTATGAGTGTTAAAGGCATTTTTCTAGGCACAATTTTTGAAGTCACAATAACAATTAACATCATGAATAAATATACAAATATTAATTTTATACTTCATTATATGGAGCACATGTGATGCATAAAGCAAGGTCAAACCGTTTTTCTTGCAATTCTTCACTGTGATTGTTATTCAGTTTGTGGATGCTAAAATGGAAGTCAATAGCTATTCAGGTGAGTACAATTCTGTTCTTATATGTGGCAATAGATAATGAGCCCACCAAAAAAAAGATGAATTAAAAGATGAGTTTCAATAGTTTCAAGATGGTTCCCTGAATAAGGCAAAGAAATGTTTCATGATATTTAAATAGTATTAGATAATTAAATAATCTTTCATTTTCCTCTCCTTTGAAAGATATTCCATTAATATAAAATATTATTTTACAAAAAAAAATTTAGGAAAAGATAACAATAAAGAAGTGATTAATTATGTGAGATCCTTAAGGCTTATCCTTGATTACTTTCATTGTAACCAAAGTAGAAAACCTCCTTCACATAGTGTATCTGATTACTCAAAATGGCCAGATCTAGCCTTAAACAGTGCAAGCAACAATAGGGAGAAACAATGTCCAGATTTTAAAAAGAAAGAAAAATGTTCCCTGATAGTGAGCTGATCCATTTAAGCACTAGTAAGCCAGGTCATTCATTTTTTTCCTTCACCGGAATGACCCCAAGTCACATTAAGTTCTTTAATGATAAGCAAAGGAAAAAAGTGAGAAATAAATTGGACCTCTGACTGCACGTGGTTACTTTGCCTTTTTACTGCTCTGTAAGCAGAGTTAGCACTTCTAAGCAAACATACTCAAATTAAAAAGCTGTGCATTCTGCTCAAGATGACAAGACATGCAGAAGTTGATGCAAACATCTTGCCACAAGCTCATAGCCATAATAAAAAAAAATCAAAAATCATCAGCAAGTTC